CTGGACCATTTCAGAGAAACTAAGGTAATTTCTCTCTTTTTCTCTAACTTGCCAGAGAGTATGTGTGCTCACAGGAGAGAGACAGAAGGTGAGGGAGGGAGACAAAAAGCGAGAAAGCACCCCCTATGGGGAATGGTCATGCCACAGTCCCTTCTCCATTTCTCCTTTTGGGATTTTGGGCACACACACATGTGCATTGGGTGTGTTTTTCAAGCCTCCAGATCCAGGACTTGAAAGCAAAGTCTGCCATGTGGGATTCACACCTTAACCACCAAGCCAGGGGTTGATCCCCCTCCCCTTTTCATGAGGAGAGGCAGAGAGGGAGGGAGTGAAGGAGGAACAGTCACCCCCACAGGGTCGGGTCCCCATGTTGCAGCCCACCCTGCTTTGGCCAGGCTGGATCACAAGCATGCGTGTACCCCCAGCATGTACGGGGGACCTTGAGGTACGAACTGAGGAGCTTTCCTTGTGGCTCCACTTGGGTTACCAACATACCACTGTCTGGCTCAAACTAAGATGCTATTTTAATCTTTCTGCCTGTTATCTAACCTTAGTGCTATCAGGAGCCAGACGGGCCACTAAACTGGGGGGAGGGCTGGGTGTGGGCTGTGGGGAGGAGTGCCCCCAGTAAAGGCTGCTTACTGTCATACCCAAGTGTCGTCTCAGCATTTGCTAGTTTTCATTTGTCCAGAGGTCAGAGATACACATTTTATATGAAGGTTTTTAAATTGTATTTTATTTTTTTGGAGAGGTTTTTGCTATAGGGCGCACACGCTCGCCAAAAAGACAGAGAGAGACAGAAAGTGAGAAATCACCCCCCAAGAGGAGATGGCCACGCTGCAATCCCTTCTCCTCCATTCTCCTCTCAGAATCTTGGTTACGCATACAAGTGTGCCCGGCATGAATTTAAAGCCACTGGGTCTAGGATTCGAACTGCAGTTGATGATGCTGGAGTCCAGCGACATAACCATTATGACATCTGCTAGTCCTTTTTTTTTTTTTAAGAGGTTTTTGCCTGGGACCAGCGGATGGCATAATGGTTACGTCACTGGACTCCACATGGCCAATTGTGGTTCGATTCCCAGACCCAGCAGCTTGAAACTTGTATCAGGTGCCTGTGCATGTGTGCCCAAGATCCTGAGAGGAAGATGAAGGAGAAGGGACTGTGGTGTGGTCATCCCCCTGCGGGAGGGAACGTCTCACTTTCTCTCTCCCTGGTGAGTGCATATGCTCTATAGCAAAAATCTCTCAAAAAAAAAAAAAAAAGACGTTTTTGCCTCAGGGTGGCATTTTCTCATAGACAGAGACAGTGAAAGGAAAAGTGAGAAATCACCCCCCAGGGGGGATGGCCACACTGCAATCCCTTCTCTTCCATGCTCCTCCCGGGATCTTGGGCACGCACGCACGTGTGTCTGGCGTGATTTTGAAGGCACTGAGTCCAGGACTCTAATCGTGGTCAGCCATGTGAGTGTCCAGTAACATAGCTGCTCTGCCATCTGCAGGCCTTTCTTTAGCTGCATATCCTAGATCTTAAGGAAACGCAGGACTTTTTTTTTTAAGGGAGATTTTTACTTAGGGCACATGTGCTTGCTAGAGAGACAAGAAAGTGAGAAATCACATCTCCAGGGGTGTGGCCATGCCACAATTCCTTTCCTCCATTCTCCTCTTGGGATTTCTAGCATGCACGCACACACGCCTGGTGTGTGTTTTAAGTCACCAGGTCCAGGACTTGAACCATGATTGACTGTGTGAGAGTCCAGTGACATAATCATTACACTATCTGCTGGTCCCAGGATATTATTTTTCTTGAGAATATGAGAAAGAGAGAAGCACCCAGAACAGGGTCTCATTCTGGGATCCCCCTCACTAGCCTTCTCATCCAGAGGAACACTGGGCACACAAACCTGGCATTCGGGTTACCCAGGAACTGAACCTATGATCCTCTGGATGGTTCCAGTACCTCTTGTGTACTACCACTGCACAGCCATGCTGGCTCCAAATGCAGCAACTTTACTGAGACACATTCTGACTTCTTGATTGGATTCTTGTTGGTACCACGTTTACAAACTTATTTGTCACAGATGACCAGTCTTGTCTTTGTGTTTATCTACCTTGGGCTTCATTTTCCAAGGCCTTCCAGTTCTGTCCCGATTCTGGAGGGTGAAAGCCTGTGAGGCCTTGGCTGTCGGCTGTACAGTCACACAGCAGCCCTGGTGCTGAGGACATTCTTCAGCTCTGTTTGCTCAGCAGAGCTGGTACCATAGAATGTCTGCATGGATGGAATAAATGGGGTAACCCCCTGAGCCTTGCCAATCAGAAGCAGTGTTTCTCTGAAACTAACAGTTCTTTCCACCTTCAATCTCTTTCCTAGGGATCTTCGGCAGGAAGGTGTCCGACAAGCTCACAGCAGCTGGCTCCGTCTCTCCTTTGTCTACAACCACTATCTCTTCTTTGCCTGTATCCTGGTGGTGCTGCTGGCCATCATCCTGTACCTTTTGCGGCTGCGCCGAATTCACCACCGACAAACTCGAGCCTCGGCTCCACTGGACTTGCTGTGGATTGAAGAGGTAGTGCCCATGATTGGGGTACAGGTAGGGCCATGAGGCTGGACCAGGCCGAGAAGCTCCTGTAACCCCGAGTTGTTGCTCATTCAGTTCCTCCATTTTCTTGTGCTGGCCTTAGATGCTGCTTTACCTGACCCATGGATATTTGGCCTTGGAATATCTACTTTAATTCCTCTTCAGTAGACGATCCTCTTCTCTGAGAGAAGCTGTAATTTAGTCTGTGAGGAGCAAAATGACCAGAGACTGGTGCTAACAAAAGGGACCAAGGAGCGTCCAGTGGAAGCATGCTCCTACTTCACCTGAGCGGCCTGGTGTTCCTAGGAGTAGCCCCTTCTCCCCTCGCTAAGGCAAGACATTTGCTACTGGGCACACCGGAAGCCTGACTGCAACCAAACTGGGAGCATCTGATATGAAACCGGGACATTGCAAGTGCAGCAGCTCCTTCTTTCTCTGTAACAGAGAGATCATTTATGTGGCGATCCACAGCCTTTAATATGGATCCAAGATCTTTGCGGTTCAGTGGACCAGGCAAGAATTTCGAGACAACCAAAATAATACATCTTCCTTCCTTCCTTGACCAAGAAGCCATTGTGGGTGTGATCCAAGATCTCTGACATAGTGTTGCTGATGTTAGTCTGTGACTTTAAAAGGTTAGGACCCCTTCTAAATGAACGGTCCATTGAAGAGTTGATGGTATCTTATCTGACACCTAGTATGACTAGGGTAGACTTTTTTTTTCCCCATTTCTATGTGCCTCACAGGCTGTTTGGGCATTAATTTTGCTTACTGAGCCTTAAGTGTGCTTGTAGGATGGAGAAACTGTGATGGGGAGTTGGGACCTGCATTTGTCTGGTTTCAGGTCTTTGTCCCCGAGGCCTATTTTTTAAGTCCCTGCACAGGAAGATTCAAAGAGTTCCTTCATTTCACTGCTAAGATCAATATGTAGTTTGGGAAGGGATGTTTTTGTGTTGTTATTAAAGGAAGGAAGAACAGAGGCCAGCAGTGGTATCGTGGTTAAAGGCGCTGGACTCCCACATAGTCGACCATAGTTTGAGTCCCAAACCTGGTGGCTTGCTTTCTCACTTTCTCTCTGGTCAAATTGAAAATCATGATAAAGTTAAATAAAAATAATTCCTTTAATTTTTTTTTTTTTAAAAGGAAGAATAGTATCAGGAGGGTGGGCAAAGGCAATAAAATCAAAGCTCTTATCCTTTTAAGAAATAGAAATATTCTCAATTTCTGGCTCCTGGAAAGTCTGAAAGGGAGCAAATTCTTAACTTTGGAAAAAGTAGGTGGACCTGTTAAGCCACCTGGCAACTTTCAGAATCTCTTAAGAGATTGCTTAGTCACAGTCAGTCTACTAATGAGAGGAAAAGCCACAGTAATGATGTTTTTCGCCTATTACCGTTTAGGAACTTTGCTTCTCCCCTATAATGGGCCTTTAAGTTGCTTGAGGATTCTTTTTCATCAACTCCACCCCCCACCTTCATGGAATCTTCTTTGTACTTTACTTGTTCTTGTATGTATCTTTGAATGTTCTGACCTTGAAGATATGCCCAAGGTTGAAGTCGCCTTTTTTGCCTTTAAAGGAAATAAAAAAGTGAAATTTTTCAAAAATAGATTTCATACCAGGAGCAGAAAGAAATGAAATGCTTCATAAAACAGAGAAAAAAATTAGAAATAAACTGGAATGAAAATAA